TGAGTCCTACTAGTATAGGTCGAGTAGTTTGCTATGCTTAGGATGTCAGTAGCGTGAGTAACTGTCATTACTATGCAAATAGGTGTTTAAACTGTGGTATCATGATGAAATAATGGAAAGGAAAATGGTGACCGGACAGTGGATGTGGATTTGGTAACTGGTGGGTGTGAGGGGTTGTGTCTCGCGCCAACAGGGCATAGCCCGGTTACACTTTTTTCCCCGCCTGTGTCGATTAAGGACCGGTCGTTGCATATGACTCTAGGCAAGTCACAGATTATTGTCCCGAGCACATACTTGGGTATGGGGCGCAGGAAGGCTTTTTGCTCTCTTATCGCGGATCCGGCTCTTTCCGGACCGACCGATGGGAAGAGGAGGTGGTGGAGGTCCTTGCACCGACCGAGTCCCGGACTCGTGGATGTGGGGCTTGAGTCTAAGTTTGGACGGGGACCGGACACCCGGGACAGAGAGTGGTGGGTTAGTCCCGCTTGTGCACAGGGTACAAGCGGGCGTGTCTTCGGGCACCCAAATTTGGGCACATTGATTCGCTGAATCGCCGGGTTATCCTAAGACGGCTTTGTCTACGGTTTAGCACCGTAGTAAGAACTGAAAGTTGAGAGAAGAAATGAACCGATTGCTCAACTCTTGCTTGAAAGTAGAACAGCTTATATAGATTGACTAGATGAAAACTTAATACGGTGATGATAATAATGTATTAATAAGGACTCACTAGTAGTATTGCTTTTTGCTAAAAGAGAACCAAAGAAACCATAAAGCCTAGCATATTCCTTGGAGTCGGGAAAGTATTCCCACCGTCGGATAAGTCTTATGAGTATATTGTGTACTGAGGTTTATTTACCCTCGCTGCGTGTGATGCTTGAGAAGTACCTTTGTGTGGAGGATTCTTCCGGTGGGCTCAGACGGATCCTCGTTCTTATCGCTAGATGTTTATTTTAAATTCATTGCTTATCATTCCGCACTCTGATATTTGGTATTGTAATAATGTACTTTTAAGAAACTCTGATGTATGAAATGGACAAGTATTGTAACTCGTTCTCATTATTGGATCCTTGGAAAAATGTGGATCTTTTGGGTTCTCCCTTGGGGTGTGCCCGACGGATACCGCCCGCTGTAGCCTGCTTTCGGGGTGCTTAGTGTCTGGTGGAAGACGAGCGTCTCCGTAAGTGTGCTATTTCGGGCGGTTCTGCCACATACATGCTTCACACATTGCAGGAAATTTTTTTTAAAATTCGTATTTTTGGCTTCTCAAAAACCCAGGTTGTTACAGCAAGCATCACGGATGAGTAACTACAGGTCCCACAAGTACATGTCGGATAGAGAAGGTACCTTGTGGAGATCTATGATGAAACACCGTCGTTACAGATCGAATATTGTTCGTCACGGATTAGTAATTAATTCAATGACGAAGTCATGTTCGTCACAGTTCTGAATAAGATCGTCACAGATGAGCAGGAACAGTCGCGCGAGTGATCTATGACGAAATGTTGTGCTGTTCTGTGATGTTTTTTTTGTGACGATACCCGATTTCATCATAGATAAGGGGGGTTCGAGGTTCGTCACGGTGATCTACGACGAAACTGAAAATTTCGTCATAAAAAGTGATTTTTATGACGGTTTCAGATTCATCGTTAAAATTTTCGTCATAGAAGTGGATATTCCTAGTAGTGTCTTCCGGTTCCCACGCCTAGACTAAACGAGATACGTAAATCAAATATTTCCTTCCCATTGCCGTCGAGAAACCATTCCATTTACATTATGTTGCTTCGTAGAACCAAATACCACCATAGTTTCTCGAGAGGAACCTTGATCTCATCCGTTGCTAATGTGCGGGCGCTATGTATCATGAGGATGAAACGACTCATTTACATGTGGTACCTTTCCTGCCCCGCCATTACCATTATTGCATGCTAATATGGCAAAAAAAACTGATCACAGTAGGCTACAATAGATCCTAACTGCATAAGCCATCATTACCTAGCTTACCCTCCCTCGCCTCTTGCCGACAGCGGTTGATGAATTTGGCAAATGTCGTTCAAGCGACCGTGCAAAACTAGGGCTTATTTGGCAAGCAAGGCTCTTCCTTGCTTTAATTTAGTTACCTTACCTGTATTATGGTGTCTCTAGGAGTTGGAGCTGGTGAAGGCAAAAAAAAACATCGCCTTCGTCAACTTCTAATTCATTTGGGGGGAGAGAGAGATCGAGTAAATTAAAATAACTCATGTCAACAATGCCATGAACAGTGGCGTAAGAGTTTCTACAATTTTTCTAGACAAAACCTTGTATCAGTAGACGCTTATTAAGTACTCTTTTTCGTCCTAAAAGAACAGAAATTTTGCTTTTCGATGAGTCAAACAATCCCAAGTTTCACCAAATATATATAAAAATATTGATACTTTTTATACATTAATATAAGTGTCTCTAGATTAGTTATGGAATCTAACTATTTCATAATAGACTTATTTAAAGGTACAAATATTGATCCTATCTTCCATAAACTTAGTCAAACACAAATTGTTTAACTCCTCGGAAAACAAGATTTATATTACATCATCTTCTCTCGTGTACACACACAAACACAAAAAGGCACAAGTCTCTAATAAGTTTGACCACGTATATACGAAAAAGTATTAATATCTTTTATGCATAATAAGTGTTACTAGATTAATTATAGAATCTATTTTCATAATAAAATTATTTGAATGTACAAATACTAATACTATTTTTGATAAACCTAGTTAAACTTGGGATCATTTGACTTCTCAAAAGCAAGAGATTTTTCATTACATGAGCTTCGTCGCGCACACAAAACGGCATAATAAGCCTATTTGCTAAGCTACACAGTTTGGTGGGTTCCATACAAGTGAACTACTGGGTTTTAATCAACTCCGATGAGTGATCTAGTTTATTTGCAAGATTAGTAGCCTGTTCATTTGGTTGTGGCTTGTCGTAAACGATCGTAAATTTTCAGTCGGAATAGTATTTTTCTCTCACACAAATCAACCAGCAGTACTTTTTCACGAACCAGCAACGAAACAAACCAGCCAATCGAACAAGCGGAACGCAGTTTCCTTACCGGCTTCACCTTGCCGGGTACGCGCGTATTATTTCTGTTAACCATCAGACTGTGTTGTATTTTTGAGACTTGACTTAGGCTCCAACTGCAGCATCTACAGGGAATATCCGTTCGTGCAGCCGTGCAGTGCTGTTCACGTGTGAAGACTATGCACAGAATGACAGAATAGTTTATTTAGTGCTGCACCAACCCGTGCTAACCACCACTCTCGCATGCAGTGGTCAACAGAGGAAGTGGTCAACTACCGACATGGCTGTACATCTTAGAATGTGCTAGTTGTTTGTGATTTTGATATAAGGTTTATCTTTGCAGTTGCTGGTTGAACTAGGTTCTGCACATGACACACGTATCCTGAACCATGCGTTAGCAAATTTTCCTTCATTTCCCATGCCTCCTAAAGGTATGTATGTTTTGTTACTGGTTGTCAATATTTCTATTGTTATTTGGCTTTGCTGATTTAGTTTTATAGGTAAATATTATCTCGTGGATTCTGGTTATCCAAACCGAATAGGATATCTTACTCCTTTTAAAGGAAGCACATACCATATACTAGAGTTTTGACTTCGTAATTTACGTGCTCCTCAAGAGAAGAACGAGGTGTTCAATTTCTTGCATTCATCTCTTTGAAATATCATTTAGTGGGTTTTCGGGGTCTTGAAGCAGAAGTGGCGTATTTTGAAGGGCATTTCAAGTTTTCCTACTCGAACTCATAATCATATAATTCTAGCTTGTATGGCATAGCATAATTTTATTCGTGACACCAATTTAGAAGACAAGTTGTTCGATAGATGTGATGGTGATGAGGAGTACCTACTACAACACAGTGCCACGGCAGACACACAAGAAGATGACAATCAAGATGGAGAGAATGAGGACACCATGAATACCATTCGCAGTAGGATAGCCGATGCTTTGGTTAGTGCGAGAGGGAGATAATTATGTTGAAGAAGGACATCATTATGTGAACCCTATTTCTTTTGTAATATTCTATAATTTCATTTTGTGGACCATATGTTAATGGTGAATGAAAATCTTTAAAAAAATTAATTTTCTCTTTTTAAAATGGTAATTTACATGCGAATTAATGAACAAAACAATGTTTTACAATAAATTTGAATGTCAGCATTCTCCTAGCAGTTCAGGGGCATTACAGATATTTTTTATCAAACCTACAGCTTCACAGCCATTCTAACCAAACGACTTTCAGCTTTCTCAAGGCTCACAACAGTTTTTCTCACAGCTCATAGCCTACAGCAGGCAGTTTTTTCACAGCCACAGCCCAACCAAAAAGACCCAAAATCAAATAGGTCGTCAACCTCCATTGGTGTAGCAGTGGAATCTCGAGGACGACGTGGAAAGCATCCATCTATCGTATCGTAGTTAGTGGCGGAACGATACGCTTGATTTCTGATGAAAAAAGGCAGCAGCGGCAGCTGGTGAGGACCATTAAGGAGCTGAGCTGAGGAGGAGCTACAGCTTTTCTATTGTCACCACACCGGATTTTGACAAATCAGCTGCCAGAAAACCTAGATTGTTCCAAACACATCATTGTTGGCGTGCTATCATGACTCGTGGAATTATGGAATCCTTAGCTTCAAAGCAAGCCAAGATGCTTTCTTGGCAAATTGTACGAAAACGATGACCAGAAATCAGATCAGATCGCATCTCATGCCCCAAACGAAATCATCTCTCCTCTCTGTCCTTTTTCACATGTTCAATTTTTATGCTTCCTGCAAAAGAATTCCATTTCTCGTGTGTTCCATTATATACATGCTCAAAACTTGAAGAGAGATGTCCATGCACATCGCTGAAATATTTACATTTTGATTTGTCACCGACGTGGCAACCTCCGATGGCGTTTTTTGATCAATCAATTATCAATAGAAAAGAAGAAAAAAACATGATTTTGTCATCGGACGGCGGAGGCCACGGTGTGCGCCCACATCCGGAGGTGCTCCTTGAGCTGGTTGCCGTCGCCAGCCGGCGGAATCCGCCAGTTCCGCAGCGCCCTCCTGACCTCTTCTTCCTCGTCGTCCCACGCCTCCGAGAGGTACGGCCTCCTGGGCACCGCGGCGACGCCCGCCGACGCGTTGACAGCTTCCGCCGCCCGGGCCGAAGACGTCGTCGCCACCGCCGCGGGTGCCGACGCCGTGGCCCGGCTGTTCTCCTCCTCGGACCGCTTCCGCCTTAGCAGGCCCGGCACGATGGACGCGAGCTCGGCGTCCACCTCGGCGTCGGAGAAGGTGAAGCCCAGGTCCTGCAGGCCCTTGACCTCCTCGAACTCCAGCTCCGACATGCTCCGCCCGCGCCGCCGCCGCCGCCGGCTGCCGGGCCCGGCCGCGCGCCGCGCCAGCTCGGACCTTATTCTCCTTTCCGGCAGCGGCTGTGGCTGCGGCGCGGCCACGACGAGCCCGTCCTTGCCCGAGAGTATGGTCTCGAGGCGCGCGCGGTGGCCGCTGTCGGGGAGCCTCAGCGGCTCCAGGCCCTGGAACGCGGCCGCCGTGGCCTCGTCGCTCCGCGTCCGCCGGTGCCGCAGCCCGCCGGCCGTGGGACTCGAAGAAGGCCGCTGCGGAGTGTGCGTATCCACCTCGCGCTCCAGCGGCGCCTGCTGTTGTGACGGTAGAGCTGGCTGAACGGTTGCTGAAGTAGGGGACGGTAGCAGCACGAGGCGGCGGAACCAGCAGGCGTCGTACAGCGCCATGGTCTGCTCCGCCGCCGCCGCAGCAGCAGCTTGTTGCGGTTGCGGCCGATTCATTTGGGGAGAGGAGAAGAGAGAGCGAGAGGAGTTCGGTTGGGTGGGTTTCGTTTCGTGAGCGCTGGGCGCGGTGGCGGCTGGGTTTTTATACAGTGCTCGCGCTGCCGCGTTCTCCGGCTCCGCGCGCGTCGGTTCGGCCTTCGGGCAAGGTTACGCTTACGCGGCGGGGAAAGGGTAGTCGCCGGACTCGCTCGGGTTCGGCGCGCGGCCGCAGGAAGCTTCGATCTGCTACTACGACTCGCGTGCTAAGGGCCAGGCGTCACGTCACTTTTCTTTCACGAAATGGCGTCTCGCCGGCTGTGGATGGGTATTACGTATGCCTGTATGGGTCGGTATTTGACGTTCGATGTGATGTGCCGAGAGTACAAAATGTTCTGTGGTAATCAAGCAAAGTGAATTTTAATTTGCATCGGTTACAATCATGTGATCCAAATGCAATAGTCATCTTCGGCCACATCTACCACGTCTTCTTTTAATTAAAGTGAAATGCTTGATAATGATTAAATGAACGATAGTCTCTCACTTGATAGTGGCATGGTTGTGTGTTTGGACATGGGTATCCATGTGACCACGCCGCACAGCGCGGCTGCGGCGTGAAAAATCGCCTACGTAACCGTGGCTCGCTACTGTGAGAATCGAGTAAAAACCAACAGTTTACTACAGTGTTTGGCCGGTATTCTTTTCTAGCTTCTAGTAAACCCAAATCCCAGCTTTCGAGGAATACAACTCCTCTATCTAAAAAATGTAAGAAAATTGCAATAGACAAACTCTTATATTGGACTCATCAAGTCATCATATGTCTCGCCTCTAAAGCATTGCCTTCCGGATTTCAACACATGCATATACAACGAACGCACTCATGAGCTCTAACTTTGTCAAATCATGAGATGTTAGACCTCATTTCTAGCACAAGATTGTGACACACATGTATATGGAAGAATTGCCACAATGCCACACACATGAAAAACTCAGCATTGAGAAAAGCCCGGACCTAACTCCTAATTATTAGTCATTTGCATGCTTTTGCCGATATCCTACGCAAGGGTTGAAAAGGTTAAACGAGAGTGGGTGTTTGATCCCGTAGAATCTGTACGGTTTGCATCTGCATCCAAAGGTGGGGACAATCCTACTCCTACTCTATGTGGTGGAAACAAGACATGCATGGGATCCGGCCGGTCAGCAAGGCGTCCGCTGAATCCTAGGAGACACAGACACGCGAGCTCAAAACCAGGCCATCCATGTCATCTTGCACATACGTACCCTGGTGAGCTGAGCTGGACAGTTGGTGGATGACAAAGCAGGAGGGCCAGGGCACTGAGGAGGTTGCTTTCGTGCTGAGTCACCCAAACTAGTGCTGCACATGGTACGCCCGGACCCAGCTGCCCATAGAGTATAGGTCACAGTTGGCCCATTGTTATCTCATCCCAGCAACTGAGAGTGACATACCTGATTACCTGCGCGAGAGGCAAGTTGCGCCACGGCAAATTGGGGCCATGTTCGGCAACACCAGCAACTCTGCTATCAATCGCCCTATTCGCTTGGCTTATATGACGTACTTTTTCAACCAACAAATAATATTTTCTCTCATAACAAATTAATCAAGCGAACAGGGCAAATATTGTTGATATGAGTCGTCTTTTCTCTTCTCACGAAATGAATATAATATAAAGCTAAAAGAAGCTACACGATTCTCTCCTCTGTTACTGTAGCATAAGACCGGTGCCTCAATGAGCCTAGCTAAAAACGCTTGTTGGACTGATGCGCTGATCCCTCGTCTGGTTAATTAGGATTTTCTTGGACGAAGTCTTAGGCCCTGTTGACAGCTCCACTTCACTAGTAAAATCGTTTTTTTTTTGCTTCAGTCGGAGTTGGAATTGTTTTAGTGAACTGTTTGACAATACATATCTACATGTAAAGCTCTTTAAAACATGCTCTCATAGAATTCTATGCGGAGCTCACGGAGGAGTGTGAGCTGATAGAAGCTATTATTTTTAGCTCTATTTCCCATCCACTCCTTGTGAGAGTACATTTTAAGGAGCTCCTCAGGTCAAGCTATTTTTTTACCCTATTTGACATAAATAAACAGCTCCTGAAAATGGTGAAGGACCTGTGCCAAATAGGACCTTAGTTTTACTAAAAACCGATTGGAGTCTTAGTTTTATTGAACACATACTTACTCCGTCCCAATATAACTAGTTTCATATTTGTTCTAAGTCAAATAATATTTTATGTTTTCTAAATTTGTAGGAGAAAACATCAACTACCAAGATACCAAATTTATGTCATTGGATGAATCATAAAATATTGTTTCACAATGCACTATCTAGTGCCAACGTAAATGTTTATTTTTTCTGATACATTTGATTAAATTTAAAATATTAGTTTAGGACAAACCAACACTATAGTAATAATTTTAGCAATGGGCTGTTTTTGGGCAGAGACAGTTGAACTCACAACCACCTCTATAGAGGCCTCTGTCAGATCCCACCTGCCTCGCTGCCACTCCGAAATACATTTTCAGATACCACACCTCTGAAAATGACAATTAATAGAGGTGGCTAGGGATCCTAGCCGCCATTGAAAATGGTGTCATTCCAACCGTCTTTGAAAATATATTCATAACGACGACTGCAATTAGAGACGCCCATATTAATGTCTATAATGTACGTTACAATCCTCCTTCCTAACCGGGATAGATACTAGTATATCTCATTGATGAAGCAAGGAGAAGCTTGGACAACTTTCACATCTTTTTGAAGGTTTAATGATAGATTATTTGTTTAATTGGTTGAGGCAGGCATTGTGAAAGAAATTAGATCACGCGGAGAAATACAGAAAAATACAAGCATGTCATGTTAAGTGGAGAACTTAGCTTGTAACAAAACCAAACTGGCTAAACTTGCTCGATTCACCGTGTGTTAGCTCGGTCGTTACCACACAACACATGCGTGCATACAGGTTGTTGTGCCGATGGAGCGAGCCTGCAACCAGACTATTATTAGCAGTACGTAGCAGTCTCCAAATTCCGATCACGCGGATGGCCAGTGGCCCGCAGAGATCGCTTAATTTCGTGGTGTGCACGCACCGATAGGGGGACGGAGGAGGGAAGCGTGCCAGGTCCGTATAGGGAATCTCTGGAGGGTCAAATTATTTGCCATGTGCGCAACGTGTTTCTTGTGACGCAGGGCAGGCAAGGAAAGCCCAAACGGAAGCGGAGGCCTTTTTACTTGTCGCACGCAGTCACGCGGAGAACATGCCGTAGCGCGTATGTGTAATTAATGTAAAAAATTGGCTGCGGCCTGCGGGCGACCGCGAATTGAACGTAGTACGTGCGCGTGGTGGTGAGTTGCCCGCGCGTGATACTGAAAGCCAAGGCCCTGTTCGCTTGTTATAATTCCGTATTTTTCGATTTATCTTTTCAATCAGAATAATGTTTTTCTCTCGCAACAAATCAGCCGAAATAGTATTTCAGCTTGTTTTTCAGCGAAGCGAACGGAGCTCATTGGGCTAGGCTAGTTGGTGGTTGGTTCAGGACGGACTTCCTTTGTCATCGGTTGCATTGCTAATTGCTTGCTTTGGTGGTCAAACAATTGAAGCAGGCATCTGGGGGAGAACTTTTGGAGGATCAGGAGGAGATTGGGCCGTGAAGATAACATCTGGCTCACCAGACCCTTTACTCTGACTGAATTTGAGGCTGCTGCGAGAGAGATGAAAACCAACACTGCTCCAGGCCCTGATGGCTTCTCGACTTCTTTCTTTAAAAAATTTTTGGGGCAAGTTAGAGAGATTATTTTAGAAATGCTTCAGCTTTTGCATAGGGGGCAGTTGGATATCGCAAGATTGAATTATGGCATCATAGTTCTGCTTCCCAAAACAAAAGGGGCCAATCAAATTAAACAGTTTAGACCAATTTGATTGCTCAATGTCATATATAAGATCATAACCAAAGTCCTCACTCTTAGACTTAATATTGTCATCAATAAGATTATTAGTGAGGCCCAAACAGCTTTTATTCCTGGGAGGTATATTCTTGATGGAGTTCTGATTGTTCATGAGATTCTACATGAGTTGAGAGTGAGGAAGAAGAAGGGCATCATCTTGAAATTGGATTTCGAATTTTGATCCAATATGGATAGAGTGGATCCTGAAGGCTGTGCAAGGGGGGAGAGTTGCAATCAACTTGAATGGGGAGATTGGTCAGTATTTCAGGAGTTATAAGGGGCTAAGACAGGGACCCCTATCTCCTTTACTTTTCAACTTGGTGGCAGATGGCTTATCTGAGATTTTGAACTGTGCTAGTGAACAGGGGCTGATCAATGTCCTATGCCTGGAGTTAGTGGAGGGAGGGCTTACCCATCTGCAGTATGCAGATGATATTGTGATGTTCTTACAATATTCCGAGCCAGACATGATCAACATGAAATTTTTGTTATTCTGTTATGAAAAACTCTCAGAGATGAAAATTAACTACTCCAAGAGTGAAGTCTTCACAGTCGGCCTTTCTGAACAAGAGAGTCAAAGCGTTACCAATGCTTTCAATTGTAGATTGGGGGAGTTTCCTATGAAATATCTGGGGCTTACATTAAGTGATAGGAGATTGTGTAAAGCTGAGCTTAGTGACTCACCAGTGAAGATTGAAAAGAGGCTTCAGACATGGAAATGTGGGCATCTTTCTTCCGGGGAAAAATCAATTCTCATCAATTCAAGCTTGACAAGCATTCCCATGTATACAATGGGTTTCTATTGGCTATATGAAGGTATTCACCAGAGGTTTGACACTTGCAGAAGCAAATTTTTCTGGGAGGGTGTGGGAAACAAAAAGAAATACCACATGATTAAATGGGATGCTCTAGATAAACCTAAGGAATTCGGGGGTTTAGGCTTTATTGATACTAGGGCAATGAACACTGCTCTTCTGTGTAAGTGGATTTTCAGACTAGAAAGCGGGGATAACAGTCTTTGTATGGAGCTGTTAAGGAAAAAAATATCTTGGAGGAGGT